TTCAAGGTATTTAAGAGAGCATCCTTTTGCTTTTAGAGGGGGTGGGAGTGGTACAAGGAAGGGGGAGAAGAGTACGAGGAGGAAGGACAACTCAATTTTATAATTCCTTGCTTTGCTGATGATTCTCAAACTTGAATATGCATCGGAATCACCCAAAAAGCTTTTAAAAATGCAAAGCTGGTCCCAGATCAGACCTGTAGAATCAGAATATCTGGGGTTGGACTACAGAAATCTGAATTACTGCAAAGTTCTAGAGCCTTCTAACATTTGCTCCATAAAACTTGAATTTAAAGGGGAGTATCTATCTGATCTGAGTAAAGGCTCTATAAGCATTGGCTGCCTCCACCCTTAAGGCACTATTATAATATGGTATGCTACAAACAATATAAACAGACCAAGAGTGCTTATTGAATTAAATTCTATACATATTACGACAAAAACCTAACAAATTAGGCACATTAAATATGTGCATTTTATCACATCCCAATCATACCTCAATAACACTGTAAATTTTAAAGGTTCCAAATGAAAAAGCATAAAATAAAATCTGTGGCATCTTCAAAAAAAATTTCACACGTATTTCTAAGTGCTAGATGCTAAGTATACAAAGACGGAAAAACTGTAAGATCCATCAACCATGAGGGGCAAAAGGCACATAAACATATACATTCTTACACACACATATTACCAGTTATTGAGTACTCACTGCGTGGCCCCTCTTCTAACTTTTACATACATCAATTCGTTCAATCCTCACAACGCCATGGGTAGGTACAAATATTATTTTGCCATCATACAGATAAGACAGAGAGGTTAAGTAACTAGACCAAAGTTACAAAACTAATAAAGTGACAGGCCAGGATTTAAATCCAGGCTCTATCACTTGATGTTATTGGTGTGATTGGGCTGCCATAACAAAATACCACAGACTGGGTAGCTTAAACAATAGAAGTTTCTCACAGTTACAGAGGCTAGAAGTCCAAGGTGAAGTTGTCAGCAGGTGTAGCTTCTCCCGGGGCTTCTGCCCTTGGCTCCCAGTGCCTATTCACTGTGTCCTCACATGGCCTTTCCTCTGTGTGAGCACATCCCTGGTGTCTCTTTTTCTACTTATAAGGACACTGCCATATTGGAATAGGGTCCACCCTCATAGCCTCATTTAAATTTAATCACCTCTTTAAAAACCTTACCTCCAAATATGGTTACCTTTGGGGCTACTGGGGTTTGAGACTTCAACATAGGAATTTTGGTGGGAACACAAGTCAATCCATAACACCTCATGACTGTGTAACCTCAAGGAAGTTACTGGACCTTCCTAGGCCTCAGTTTCATCAATCGTAAAATAGTACTATGGAGAATCAAATGAGATAATTCATGTAAAATGTTTAGCAAAGTGTCTGGCACAGAGTGTCATCATTATATAGATGAGGAAAACAACGGAGACAGATGGTGGCTTGCCCTGTTTTAATTTAGCAGAATTCTTACACTACAGAATATGACCTTTCTGTATACCAAATGCATAATCTAGGAGAATTTTATACAACTTGTAAATTTTCTGCATCTCTCACTTCCTGCTTCCTCACACTATTTTTCTTACTTTATTACATACAAGGGAGGAAGAGAAGGGGAAGCTTAAATTAATAGAAATTTAGTTAGGGAAGTATACTACTTTTCTGGAATGTATGTGAATTTCATTCATCTTTTCTCCTAATTTGCAAAGACAATTGGCTATAGTCACACACAGTGATGATACCTCATAAGATCAATACCTATTTTTTTTTTTTTTTTTTTTTTTAGCTGAGCCATCCTGCCACCTGTTGGCAGCTCAGCGGCTGCTCAGCTCAGGCCGGACTCGAACTGGTGTTGCTCAGAGCTCAAACTCTTGAACAAGCTCTTAACCAACTGAGCCACTCGGCTGGCCCTGATCAATACCTATTTTTTAACTACTAAGAAATAAAAGCAACTTGATGCATTTTTTAAAAATTAAGATTGTATTTTACGTTTGCCTAGTATTCTACACGTATTACACCCATTTAATCCTCAATACAATCTGATAATATTGTTTTATTCAGCCCTAAAACAGTCACATGAAGAAGGAATTATTCACATTTTATAGCTGAGGGAACAGAAGCACAGCAAGGTTAAATGTTTTTCTTTAATGTCACAAAGCTTGACAAGGACTGGCAGAGCCAGAATTCTCACTGACATCTTCAAGTCTAACTAAGGCCCCAGTTCTCCACTGAGGCCACCCACTACACCTTGGCAAGTTGCAATATCTGGTTTTCTCGATCTTCACGCTTGCACAAACAGAGCAGGACTCAGCAAATAAATCAGTCTAATTTGGGGCAACCCAGACTCAGCTGCAAGGAACCTTCCACATCCTTGGTATAGGCCAAGTTTCCTGACAATGTTGACCTCCACCAATGCCTTGGACTGATGGCTCTTCCAAGGCAACAACCATAGTGCCCTTCTTCCCCAGTGTCTAGCACACTGGGTGCTCATTTAAGTTCAACGGTTATTTGAGAAATGAGAGTTCGAGTAAATATTTGAATCATAGTAAATTTTTCCTTTAGTGGTGGCAATGGGTGCTTTTCAGCCACCAGCATACCATAAAAAATACCAACAAAAAAAAAAGCATTTATTAAAAACACACACACACACAAAACAAAACAACAAACAAAAAAAACCACCTCTCTCTCATGGTCTACAACAGGGCGTTTCCAAGCCCAAATTCTATGATTCCATGGCAGCAGATTCCTGAGATGATTAAACCCACCACCTTGAGCACCAATTATGGGCACAATGCAATTGGATTCCCCAGTTCAGAACCACCACAGTGTTCTTAGTCTGTGGTATGCTTCCAGGAAAGCAACAATTCTGCGTATGTGACAGGGAAGTCCACAATCCCCAGGGGGAGCTGTAATGGATGATAAGGTTGATCTGAGTCACAGTGGAACTGCTGTTTGTCAAGGCCCCTGTGTCGTAAAAATAAGCTATATTAAGACAAATCGTGCTAACTTTTATTTTCTCAAGAATATACTGCTGTTTGGGCTTTTTTCTTTTTTAGCTTCCAGTTTGTTTTGCCATGAGCAGGCAGGCAAGTTGTGACCCTGCCATGGAAACTATCTGACCACTTCTGAGCTATTCTGTACACAGGGAAGGGAGGTAGGCAGAGCCAGCCAGAGCAGCGTCCTAAACTGCTTTAAGCTCTCATGTAACTTCAGGAACTTGTGCTGTCCAATATGTTCATCTCTCTTGCTTTTGTGTACCCTGTTGTGAACTGGCCATTACCTCCTGGCTACCTATTTCACAGAGCTGTTGTAGCAGATTTAAAATAAGTATTTGAGCTCCTAGAAATAGCATTCAATAAAGAACCGAAGGGATAAAATATTACGAGCATTACAATTCCTGTCTGAATTAATCTTTTCAAAGTACTCTGAGATCTGAGGCAGGCAAGCAAATTCACTAGGAAAGGAAAGGGTTACTCTCTAGGTTATTCTAAATCAAGTTATCCTACAAATATTCTTTTCTGATGCCTTAATCAAGAGAGAAATTTCAGGGGGAAAAATGAAGAGGCATACAAATGGAATAATTCTGAAAACAGCTAAATTAAAATGTTAATTTATCCACTCATCACTATAATAAATATTTATTAAATATATGCAATATATAAAGCACCAAGCTAGATGCTGTAAGGATACAGAATCATGTAAGAAATGTCCATATATTGTCCTAGAGTGCAACTGCACCATAAGATGAAACTTTCATTTAGCTTTCCTTCCCAAATAAACAAAGGTTTGAAGTTTCCCTAGTACGTGGAAGAACAAAACTGTTTCTCTATTATGACTTTGTGGCTTCATAGAAAATGTTTAGAACACATTGGGGGAGAAGCTCTTTTATCTATTAGTTTCCATCGACAAGCAGCAGCTTTCTCAAGAGTGACTGAGCTACAGAATGACTATAAATTCCACAATAACCTGATTAAATCTGACAGGCACATGATGTGTGTGGGGGGAGTGGGGGCGGGGGGGGGAGGATAAAGAAACCCATGTGACCTTCAATTTCAATAAGAAAATTTGAAACGTATTGTCAGAGAAAGCAGGAAGATGAAGATCATGTGGTTTGGAAAGAAGATTAAGAATGATAGGACAGAAATATTCCAAATAACATCAAGTCACTTGGGATTCTCTGAATGCCCTGCCATATTAAATCACATACGGCTATGCAGTGAACAGTTAAGGCCTATCTCACTCCTCACTTCTGCTACTGACTGAGCTTGAGAAAAAAAAATAAAAATAAGACAACCTTTTCAAGTTATTTGATCAAAGGCAGAAATTGTAGCCTGGACATTTAAAGGAATAAACTCATGAGGTACGGTAAAAGATGTGTTTAGCAATTAGTCAGTGTCCTGACTCAATTAACTTAAAACAGAAAGATCCACATTTCCTTAAAGCTTTACTGGTATTAGTTTGCTGGAACTGACTGTGCCAATATATAAATTTTGTGTGTGTGTTTACTTTTCCTCCCCCTAGATTTATGGCTAAATTGTTCTCAAAAATTGGATTTCTTAATATCTGCTTCTTCCACTGTTAATATCCTATTTTTCCAAAGCCACAGAACTGATGTTCTTCAACAAATAAAGTGAATACTGAGAACCAGCTCTTGTGTCCAAGGATGAGGAAATAAAAAAGAGTTTATGCTCCAAGGCAAATACTAGGGCATACTCACAATAAGGTCAAGATCACATTAAGAGAATCTACAGCACATCAAACAAAATTTTGTACTTATAGTTCTGATCAAGCCAAACCATCTTTCAGAATAGCCAATCCCAAACAAGATTGCTGTATTTGGAATTCAGACAGCAAGGATGGGCAGCTTCTTCACAGAAATGGAAAATGACACTCGGCCAGCTCTCTGTCCCGTGGTGTAATCTCACATGCAGTGCACGAACAATTCTTAGTTATTCATTTTTCTTCTTACAAATGAAAAGTAGATCAACTTACATGGCTCTCTGGCAATGAACTGAGGTACAGTGTTGGGCAGAGGAGTACTGGGGTTTGGAGTCCCTACTAGTTTGTTCTTGGCCATCTTCGTGTTTGCCTTAGCAAACTCTAGTCGTAGTGTTTGCGGAATTTCAGGATCAAAGCGGATGCCCTTTGGAAATAGAGAACAAATGGAAGATGTTTTCATTTCCTTAGACTCAAACCGGAATGGTGACAAAATAAACACACCAGTAAACCCTGGCCTATCAAAAAAAGGGGGGGGAAGGTCAGCAAGAGCTCTCATTCTCACTGTTTACACAGAATACACGAAAACGTAACACAACATGTCCAGAAAGTCAGGGAGATTTAGTTTACTTAATTTTCAGTTACATGGGTTTTCAAGTTTTCTACATGGTTTTTCTTCTTGGACAAAAAGATTCAAGTTCAAGTTTTAAACCTGGACCAGCAAATTTCTTTCACAGTTAAAAACCTCAGTTAATGGCTACCAATAAGAATAAAAGAATCATTGTAAAGTCGTTTACAATACTAGAAAGTCTAACACCTGAAATCCCTGAAGTCCTAGGCTTGGCCAGTGTTCTAACACTGACTTAAAACAGTGGAATTCTTCAATACTTTAGCTTTATCACCTATGAGAGGGAAACTTTCCCATCCTTTTCTAAGGAGAGCTTTCATAACAGTGATACATGTACTATGAGTTACTAAGAAGACAGGAACTAAACAGTTATAAGATTTCAATATAACTAGTAGCATTTATTTCTAGTTAGCTTATTAATTTATATAAAATCTGAATGTCTTGATGTTGTTAAGTCCTGATTTTCATTATAGCTGGCTTATTAGCTACATGGATAGAGAAACAGCAGATTATATGGGCCAAAGAGAGGATAGTAATTTCAATTACCCTTGACCCTAGCAGTGCAGTTTACCTAAAACAAAACCTATTCAATGAAATATTGGGTTTTCGGAAAAGTCATGATGCATTTTTGCAACGAAAAACATAGAAAAAATAAGTCATGACTTTTCCGACAACCCAATAAATCACAAACACTATAAAATCTTAAAATACAAGATTTAGGGCAAGATAATTCTATTCTGAAACCCTCCCGCCATTCAAGAATGCCTCCATTGCTAAGTATGACAAATCTCATTATATCTATGTCCAATAGCATGGATTCTGAACCCAAATAGTAGTATCAAAAAGATATCCCAGCCTTTTGAGTATTTTGAACCTTGCCTCTGCTCCACCCGCTCCAAACTCTTTGGAGTGTACTTTCTTTTCTAATAATGGCCCTTGAGCCATTCTCTACTGCTCGGGCCTGCTTCTGCTTCTTTGAAATGTATTTTTACTTCCAATAAACTCCTTTTCTGCAACTTAAAAAAAAAAAAATCCCAGTACAGTGCATAAATGTACATCCAAATCAGCTTAGGTCTCATGTTTGTCTGCATATGTTCTGGAAAAGGAGTGAAGTCCTGAAAATGAGTATGCTAAAAATACACGTGGGCCTGTGGGCCCCAAAGCCCTCCTTCTTCTTCTTAATTAGTTTGAAGAAAAGAGAGCAATTTCCACAAGAAATTAGCAAGAATCTCTGACTCTGCAGACCAGGATGAACAACTCTGAACTCCACAGGCTTAGCTCCAAAGATGAGAGAAGGAGCCTGTGACTGGAAGGTAACAACAATAAGAGAAGTAAGGTAGGGGAAGAGTTAGAAAAGAGAGGTCCTCAGAGAGATACACCAAAAAGCCACCAGTCCCTGGCCCTCAGATGTCCTGGAGTGGGTGGAATTTCTTTCTGAGCCTGATTTACCCATTCTCTGAGAAGAAACCAATTGAAGGTGGCCAACAGGTAGGGGTGGGCAGGAAGCAAAGGAATCCACTTGTGCAGCCCTAACCAACAACACAAAGTAAAAAGGGGGTGCCAGTTACATGAAATATGAAAAGAAATTCTTTAACTGGTCTCAGTTTTAGCTGTGTTTTAATTTGGAAAATGTTAGTATTACCTTGCCAAAAACATACATAAAGAAGAAGGGAGCCTTCTAAAGAATTTGCCCCCATCCGCTTCCACTTAAGAGCATTTTACTCTATCAACGCTAATATCATAACAGAATACATATTTCCAAATATGGACCTAAAGAGCTGTGGTCTTGCTGGGAGGCAGGCACAGTCCCTGGCTGTCATTTAAAGGATGCTGTGGTAGATGGTAGCACTCATATATTCAGATCACACACCCTCAGCCACACAGAGTAACAACTTGCCATCAACTTCAGGATGTCTTCACTGGCACTCAACTCCACCAACCTTTTCGTGAAGAAGCAACTTTCCTAAACCTGAGCCCAGGCCTCTACCTGAGCACGTGGCCAAGGCCATTGTAATGCGAGAGCATCCTGGGACCTGCAGGTGGTCCTCTGGAGCTTCTAGCCTCTAATATAAGCCTGCACATCTGAATCCTATGCCTCAGCTTTTTCGCTGGTGTTCCAGAGCCAACTGAGGCTCCACACAATGTGCTTCCCTCTTACACAACCTGGGCTGGTGGCTCGGGTCCCAAAACCTGCTGAAGGGAATCTCTACCACTTCCCTCCCCCCTCTTCATACCCTTCCTCCCCATTTGGGCTAAAATAACACCGCCATCATGTTCCAAATCAAAGTTCCAGCTCCTTATTAAAAAAAAAAAGAAAAAAAGAAAAAACAGAAACCTCACAAGTTAAAATGACCTAATTTGTTTGGCAGCTTATTCAGAGGCTGGAGGCTTAGAATACAAGCCACATTCCTCTAACATCTTTAGCAGCAATACCATATTTGGTAATCAATATCCTGCTCAGCTCAGTTTCTATCCACAGGGATTAGCCAAGCCCAAAACACTTTAAATGCTCAAGGATGATGAAGAGGAGGCAGAGGGGATGGTGGGATAGGGACAACACGGAAGTGAAGAGGAAGAAAAGAAAAAGAGGGGAAAGATGAAAAAGGGGGATAGATAAGGAGGAGACATGAAAAAAACAGAAACAAAAAACAAAAAGAAAAACCCTTGTGCTTTTAATTAAAGCCTAAGATTATTTTCTGGCCACAGTGACTTCACATTAAATGCTGTCAGGATAAAATTACTGCCAAGTCAAAGGGGAAATCTGTGCCTTTCAAAATCAGCTTTTTCCTCTCTTGTTTATAATTCACCAAAACCCTTCATATAATGAACAGAAACTTTTCCTGTTGTAAATGCTGTCTTATTTACATGGTGACCAGAAAGCACAGTTTCTGGATATCAGCATGATATCAATTTGAGAATAAACAGTTACTTAGAAACAACCCAATCTGATTGCCTACAGGGACAGTCAACAGTCTCTTCAAGATGCTCTAAAAACACTGTGACCAAAGCAACACAGGTTCACTATGATCTACGAAGGCTGGACTCCCCACGCAGGGCCAACTCTGGGCGGTATAAAGACACTGTTGATAAATAATGTATGCTATTGGGTTGTCAGAAAAGTCATGATGCATTTTTGCAACAAAAAACATAGAAAAAATACATCATGATTTTTCCAACAACCCAATAAGTAGTCTAGTATACATAAGAATGTAGCAGGGCAGTTTCAAATCCATATGCTTATCTGTTATAGGCTGACTGTGTCCTCCTAAAATCCCTATGTTGAACCCCAATGTGATGGTATTTGGAGGTGGTGCCTTTGGGGAGTAATTAGGTTTAAATGAGGTCATGAGGGTGGGGTCCCTATGATGGGATTAGTGCCCTTGGAAAAGGAAACACCAGAGATCTCTCTTTCCAAGAGCACACATGCACCAAGGGAAGGCCATGTGAGCACAGAGAGAAGGCGGCTGTCTCCAAGCCAGGAAGAGGACCCTCCCCAGATACTGCACCTGTTGGTAACTTCATCTTGGACTTTCTAGCCTCCAGAACTGAAAGAATTAAATGTCTGTTGTTTAAGCCACACGGTCTATGGTATTTTGTTATGGCAGCCTGAGCTGACTAAGATATAAGATATCATGCTAACAGTTTTCTTTCTTGGGCCACGATTCCTAAAATACCTCATGATACTCTTTCTGAACCTTCTGTGTTCTCATACAGGTAAATCTCCCTTTCTCTACCAACCCCATCCACAACCCCACCTTTCTGCTCACTGCAGGTCATTCAACCCATGAGAACAATTTTATTCAACAACCTTTGCAATGTCTCATATAGATGTATGTGATCACTAGAAGGCCTAATAATTCAATCTCAAATGCTATAGAGAACAATTGGAGGCTCCAAAGGAAAATTCAAACTCTGCATTTACATACTACAATGCTTAAAGCAAGTCAGTTATTGCATTCAGGGCTTTGTCGAGGGAATTTTCTTAAATCCTCTTTTTATTTCTGTTTCTCTTACATGTAAATAAAGCTTAAGAATTATTTGTAAGTAGAAAGATTAAAGAGAGAATTTTCTGGACTTATTGAGAGACTGGAACTGACCAGATAGGAAGCAATTTGAGCCTCCCTGGAAAGAGAAGTTAGTTGGGATGGCTGCTCTGTTGGTCCTTCTTCTCTGAAAAAGGCACTGAGAGGCAAACATCTGGGTTCTGTGCCCTTATTCTCCTGACAATAGCTGACTATTTAAGCTGGGGCAGATGCTGCCCAAAGAGACCAAACATGGTTCTTCTTCTGGAGCTTTTAACCTTGAGTATATAGATACAGAAAATGGAGGTAGTTGGAGCTGAGCCACCTAATAGTCTCCCACTAGAGAAAACATCTTCAAACTCCTGTCACTGAGGTCCTTCAGAGCTGTCCTGATGCCTGGGGGAGTCTTATTTATTTGGTCCCTCCAATTCTGTCAGCTACCGGGTATCCCAGTGTCCTTATGAACGATTTTATCATTAAAGTAAGTCAGCTTATCAGTCCTTGATAACTACTTTTAGGGACAACAGAAGCGTAAGTTAGAGAAAAAATGGTAAAGAATGAAGAAAGGCTGTATGTATATATTGAGAATGATACCCATGGCAGTATGTTAGGGAAAAAATAATAATCATTATTTAGTAGTATTGGGGGCAGTAGGGGAGGAGGGGAGATTCTGTATATGTGGGGGTGTGTGAACACATTCGTCCTATCTATGTAAGCTCTGGGGATGTTTATAATGTAAAAACCAACCAGTTAATAGAGGAAACTTTGGTAGTGATG